GATGTTGGATCATTTTCATTCCACATTGAAAATGTTTGGAAAATGAGCTATTGAGCTCCTCTTACAAACATAATTGTTTGCCCATCAATGCGGGCAAATATTGAGAAGTCCAAAATGTATATGAGTTGTTTTAGTTTTTAGCAATTTCGAGCAAATTGCTAAGTTATTAAATAATATTTTTGGTGTTTTGATTAAATTAAATATAAAATGTTAAACACACAAATTTCTTAAAATTTTGACGAATTTGCCAAATAATCAAATTACAATAATAACCACCACACCAACAACAATAACAACAATAATATAATAATAATAGTAATCCAAACAAAACTATATACAAAATAAAATTAAGTTAAAAAAAAAAAAAAAGACAAAGTGGAGTCACGGGCTCCCTTTATAAATGATGTGTGATCACTTTGATCCCACATTGAAAATATTTGAAAAGAGAGAGCTCCTCCATATAAGAGGAGCATTGCCGCTCTTACAAACATAATTGCTTGCCCAACAATGTGGGCAAGTATTGAGAAGTGAAAATGTTCTTATTTAAGAAGTCTTTACTTTGTCTTTTTATTTATTTATTTATTATTAGTGGGGGTTGTGAAAGATTAACCCGAAATGTATGTGTTGTATTAGTTTGTAGCAGTTTGGAGCACATTATTAAGTTATTATATTATTTTTTTAGTGTTTTGATTAAAGTTAAAATGATGAATTTGTTAAAATTTTAGCGTATTTATCACTAATAATAATAATAATAATAATAATAATAATAATAATAATAATCCAAACAAAACGATAAACAAAATAAAATAATTTTTTTTAAAAAAAAAAAAAGAAGAAGACAAAAAGGAGCCACGTGCTCCCATTTGTAAATGATGTTGGATCATTTTGATCCCACATTGAAAATGTTTGGAAAGATGAGCTTTTGAGCTCCTCTATATAAGAGGAGCAACGCTCCTCAACGTGGGCAAGTATTGAAAATTCCAAAGGTTTATGTACGTGGGCAAGTATTGAAAATTCCAAAGGTTTATGTACGTGGGCAAATTATGTTGTGGAATCGTGGTCACCTTACAAGGTAGACAATGTTCTAAAATTGTTCATAATTATGAATATATAAAGTTCAAAAATTATGAATATATAGTTCTATAATTATGCACATAGTGAAAATGCTTGAAAAGAGGAGCTCTTGAGCTCCTCTATATAAGAGGTACAAACATAATTGTTTGCCCATCAATGTGACAAGTATTGAGAAGTCAAAATGTTATTATTTAAGAAACTTTAGTTTTGTCTTCTTATTTTAGTTTTTTTTTTATTTTTTATTTATTATGTATTGTTTATTTATTTATTTATTTATTATTTATTATTTATTATGTATTATTTATTTATTATTAGTGGGGGTTTGGAAAGATAAACCCAAAATGTATGTATTGTTTTAATTTTTAGCAGTTTGGAGCAAATTACTGAGTTATTAAATAATATTTTTGGTATTTTGATTAAAGATAAATTGTTAAAATGACGAATTTTCCAATAATCAAATAATAATAATAATAATAATAATAATAATAATAATAATAATAATAATAATAATAATTCAAACAGAACGATATACAAAATAAATAAATAAATAAATAAATAAATAAATAAATAAAAAAGACGGAAGGGAGCCCGTGGCTCCCTTTGTAAATGATGTGAGATCATTTTGATCTCACATTGAAAATGTTTGAAAAAAGGAGCTCTTGATCTCATCTTTCAAACATAATTGCTTGCTCATCAATGTAGACAAGTATTGAGAAGTCCAAAGTCTTTTTTTTTTTTTTTTTTGGTTTCTTAGTTTTTGTTTTTGTTTTGAGAGAAGTAAAGAAAAATTAAAAATGGAAAAGAAATATTTCAATAATAATATTTTACATAATCAAATAGTAAAGACATATTTAAAAAAAAATAGTAATGGTAAATTAAAAATGGAACGAAAATATTTCATTAATAATATTCTAAATCTTCAAATTAAAATGGAACTGAAATTAGGTAAAAATATCACTGCATCTATATTTTAATTGACTAATTGACTGAAAATAAAAAATAATAATTGACTGAAAATTAATCTAATATTACTAATTGACTGAAAATATAAAAGGAAATGAATATTGATAATTGATTGCAAATAAAAAAAATGATCCATAATTGACTAAAAAAAATGGTCAGATCATTGCATTTTAATTAAAAATGTAATGAAAATTAAAAATTAGAGAAAAATATTTTAATAATAATATTATACATTATCAATACTAAATGCATATTTTAAACAATAGTAAAGGTAAATTAAAAATGAAATAGAAATATTTCAATAATAATATCTACATCATCAAATAAAAATGGAACGAAAATTAGGTAAAAATATCACTGCATTAGATATTCTAATTAACTAATTGATTGAAAATTTTTAAAAAAAATTGTCTGAAAATGAATCTAATATTACTAATTGTCTGAAAATATAAAAGGATAACTAATTGAGTGATATTTTACCATTATATATTTTCACCCAAGTAACCCGTCTTGATGAAGTGAAGGTCTTAGCTCTAGACGAAGATGAACAAGATTGTGTTGTCACTACTAATGCCGTCTACAAAGAGATTTCAATAATGTGTAAATATAATCAGTGATATTATTTTTTTTTTAAATGAAAAAATTGTTATATATCCAGACAAATATATATATATATATATATATATATATATATATATATATATATATATATCTTCCATACAAATGAGTAATGATAGCAATTCATTTCTATAACTGAGTTGTTAGAGAACGAGCACATTTGTCTAATTTATGAAAATACTAAAAAATGATAAATAAAATCTTCAAAGTTATAGCACCGCATGCGTACATCTAGATATTAGCTATTCATTTGAGCAATTATGTGCACAAATTCAAGCAATGATAACATTAAAATATATAAACGATCCAAATCATATCTTTAATTGTACTATATAATATTTGATGTTCTAATTTAAATAATTATATATCCCTTAATATATTCTCAATATATTACAACAAATCCATTCCGTGCATCGCACGGGTGCAAATACTAGTTATAATTAAAATCTAATATTATGTTTTGTTATGGAGTATAATATTTGAACGTAAAAATACTTAATTATTACAAATTTTGTATAAGACTTCTTTTATTGAGCATAGTGTCTATTCATATATACTTTCTCAAAATATTGAAGTTCAACGAGTCAATATCGCTTCCAGGAGGCTAAAACCTATGACTTTCCACTTGAGAGAGTTATTTCATGCCGCTTGACCACAAAGTCTTTGACTTGAGCATATTCAAGTTAAGTTGAGCTTTAGTTGCTCTAAGTTTTTATTTCCCAAATTGAACCGAATTTCAAACTTTGACTATTCGTGCTTGGCAAATTTTTTTTTTTTTTTGTTGTTGTGGAATTGTAAGGTGGACACGGTTCCACAACTGTTCACAACTATAAATATATAGTTCAAAAATTATGAACATATACTTTTATAATTATGAAAATAGAGTTGTGAACATAATTATGAGCATATAGTTCTGTAATTATGAATATAGAGATTCGATAATTGTGAATATGAAGTTCAAAAATTATGAATATATATAGCTTTATAATTATGAACATATGGTTCAGTAATTATGAACGTAGAACTCTGTAATTGTGAATATAAAGTTCTATAATTATGAATATGAAATTTAAAAATTATGAATATATAACTTTATAATTATGAACATAGACCCGTGTTTACCTTGCAAGATGGACACGGTTCCACAGCACAGCATAACGATTGTCACAGTAACATGTGGGCCGAATTGTAGCCCATAAGCCCAACCGAATCTCCATGAATGTCAAAAAAGCATTGAAGTATTTGGGCCGAATAGCCCACTAACTCAGCTATTGATTGTTACGATGGACCATGATCCACAAAATGATGTTGTTTCTTTAAGTAAAAAGAAATGATGGTAATTATGTTTAACTAATTTCATATTTATAATGTGCTCAAAATAAAATAAATTTATTGTGTATCTAAAATAAAATTGAATAATATATCTTAGATATTGAGTATATATTGTCAATAAAATTGTATTTGAATTAAAATAATATTTTATAAGTTACACATATTTGAGTGTAAATTATTTAATAAAATTGTATTTGAATAAGAATTATACTTTAATGGTGTTGTAATAAAAACTAACTACAATATGTATAAAATAAAATTCAATAATAGAGTTAGTTCAATTTTTAGTCGTAAATTAGTGGTTGTCCATTTTAAGTTTTTTTTTTTTTTTTTTTTTTAACCAAAGTATCCAATTTTAGTCTTATTATTATTATTATTATTATTATTATTATTATTATTATTATTATGACATGACCATTTTTGGTCATTTTTCAATAAAATAGTTAAAATATCGTTAAATACAATGACATTTTGGTCTTCATTTATAATTTCTTTCACAAAAATAAACATAAAAATATAGCGGTTTAACCTTCTTTGTATAAAAAAGATTAAAATGTCTTTGTATTTAACAACATTTCAACGATTCTGTTTATGAGAGACTAAAAATGATAATGCAATAATAATACTAGGACCAAATGAAGATGTTATAATAAAAAATAACTAAAGATAAATTGTCACCTATAAATCTAGAACAAAAAATGAAAATAACTGTTGAATAATAAGTCTCTTATATTAAGTGAAGATTGTGAAATTAAATTGTGATTGAATCAAAATAATATTTTAGTTATACTCTATTAAAATTACAATGTATATAAAATGGAATAGAAAACATCATAAAAACAAAATTAATTTGATATAACAAAGATTTTTTTTTAATACTACTGACTCTATTACAATACTGCAGTATCTGTTTATAATTACTTTCTCAAATAAAAGAAGAACAAAAAGTCAATATTATATTTATTGAGACCTACATCGAGCAACTTGTGCCAAAAAATCATTTTGCACCGTGAACAGTAAAATTTGCCCTCAGCTATGGCGCGAAACCTGGACCGTTCAGCTTCCTTTAACCGCAAGAAAAGCGGTTCACTTTCAACCACGCTACTGGGACCCACCATTTTCAATTTCAGCCGTAAGCGTAAACGCCACCGTGCCCCACCGCCTTGTCCTACTCAGCAGCTTCAACTCAACCACCACCGCTTTCCGGATTTAGAAGTTCTCCGCCGTTCACTCTCTCCCTCTCAGTCTCCACCGCCAAAAGCTCAGCTGAAGCATAACCGCTTTCCATACTTTATGCACAGTCAGTAAATGAGCTTCAGCTTGCCTAGCTCTCAGCTGGCCTTAATTCCGTTCCGGCGATGCAGGAACCGGACTTTCGAAGACCGCCGCGGATGGAGGCGCCGCCGGTTCACCGTTCGGAGCAACTTATTCGCTTCACCTTCACCCTTCGAGTCTCTATTCCAGAACTTGATCACTCACTTCCCTTCCGTGAATTCGCTCGATTTGATAGCTCCCGCCCTTGGTTTCGCCTCCGGAGCCGCTCTCTACCTCTCAGGGGGGGATTCGGGGATTCGTAGAGCTCTGCGGGAGGGTTCGGTTTCGGATATTGGGGAGTGGGTGCTGTTCACCAGTCCAACGCCGTTTAACCGGTTCGTGATGCTGCGGTGTCCTTCAATTGCGTTCCCCGGGAGTGAGTTGCTGGAGAACGTAAGTGAGAGTCTGGTGAAAGAGGAAAGACACTTGGTGAGGATCAATAGCGGCAGAATTCAGGTAAGGAAGAGCGAGGAGAATTGTGACGAGAAATTGGTGTACCAAAGGTTGTGCGTAAGCATGGAGGATGGAGGAGTAGTGTCATTGGACTGGCCGGCGAATTTGGACTTGGAGGAAGAGCATGGATTGGACACCACCTTCTTGATTGTTCCCGGAACAGTCGAGGGAAGCATGGACAAAGATATTAGGGGGTTCGTCTGTGACTGTTTGAGGAGAGGGTGTTTTCCAGTTGTTATGAACCCTAGGGGTTGCGCTGGTTCCCCCTTGACAACAGCAAGGTCATTAGTCCTTGATATTATATTCCTACTGTTCTTATCATTAATCAATTGATCATGGTATCACATGCTATGCTTATATATTTGAGCTATTTATGGATTTTGTTGGCTATTGTGACAGTCATGATAATTTGGTGCTTTTATATTTCAATCATGACTAACTGGATGTCTGGATTATAAGAGACCAGGATTCTTATATAAGTAATACTGCCTCTTTGTAACCTTAAATTCCGACTTAAAAGTAAATCTTGATTGCAGATATTAGAATTTAACTTTAGTTTTGTCAATCCATATCCAATTTCTTTCTTCTACAGCATGTTGTATGAAATGTCAAACCCTGTGTCTATAATTTACAGAGTAAAATTTTTGGTATGTATAATTTCTTACTTGGGTTCAGATTCTATAGAGCATGTTGCATTGACTTCTCAAAAATTTCCTCTTGCTTTTGATGCTTAGAACAGATTTTTGTGGAAATCTGATAAGAGTGATAACACTTCTAAGACTAGGTCCCTTGCAATAAGCTGATAGTAGGACATGTTAATAACTTTGTTTATGTAGGTTATTTACAGCTGCTGACAGCGATGATATCTCCACAGCCATAAAATTTATCAACAAAAGAAGGCCATGGTCATCATTAATGGGTATTGGCTGGGGTTATGGTGCAAACATGTTGACAAAGTACCTGGCTGAAGCTGGAGAAGAAACGCCACTGGTAGCTGCTACATGCATTGACAACCCTTTTGACCTAGAAGAGGCTACTAGAGCATCTCCCTACTTTGACCAGAAGCTAACCAGTGGCTTGGTTGATATTCTGCAATCTAACAAGGTAATTATTTGACTTGAAAGGTTTAAATTCTTTCAAGTTCTGTACCCAAAAAAAAGAAAAAGAAAAAGAGAGAAGTGAAAAAATAAAATAAAATAAAATCCGTCAAGTGACGATTCCCTCTGGGCTAGCCTCTGTGCCTCTCGGAGCGAACCGGGTGGACCTAGACTGTTCAACGGACAGAGAAAGACCCGGCGAACCGGGTGGACCTGGACCGTTCAACGGACAGAGAAAGACCTGGACCACGTTGTGGTTTACATCAAAAAAAAAAATCTGTCAAGTTCATCATGTGTGATATAGATTATCTTGCATTCCTGTATTGGCTAATTATAAGGTTTATATCTACTGCATTCAGGAACTATTTCAAGGGCGTGCAAAAGGTTTTAATGTTGAAAAGGCTCTTGTATCAACATCTATTCGGGATTTTGAGAAAGAAATATCTATGGTATCATATGGATTTAATGCCATTGAGGATTTCTACGCAAAATCTAGTACAAGAGATGTGGTTGGAAGAGTAAAGATCCCTCTTCTCTTCATTCAGGTACTACTGTCTTTTGCAGACCTTGTCTCAGTGAAATTTTGGTCATCCAAATAATATCCAGCAAAACATTGTGTTTGACAACTTTGGTTTGTTTGATTTGCCAGAACAATGATAGGTCTGTTCCATTGTTCTCTGTTCCACAAAGTTCGATAGCTCAAAATCCATTTACAAGCCTGCTTCTCTGCTCTCGCTTGCCATTTATAGAAACCATGAGTAGTAGATCAACTATATCTTGGTGCCAGAATCTTACCATTGAGGTAAAAGATTGAAAATTTCTGTGCCCAACCATGCATTGATTTAATTTTTCATAATAAATAAATTCTGTAATTGAAAATCTTGTGTGGCAGTGGCTCACTGCTGTGGAGCTTGGACTTTTAAAGGGTCGCCATCCTCTTTTGCAAGATGTTGATGTTACAATTAATCCCTCAAGTGTTACTGCACTGTTGATGAGACCATCTGATGGAAATGTTGGAGTAAAAAAGCTTTTAAATCTTCCAAATTTAGATTCGTTAGATGTGCATGACCTAGGTCCTTCCAAAGAGACATTTGAGAAAAGCAACACTGCAGCTAGCCAAAGATTACTACATGAGCATAAGGGCACATTCGTGCATGGTGATTGCAGTGATGCAAAGTCAGGAGAAGAGGAAGTCATGAATCATAATGATGGTGATAAAGGCCAAGTGCTACAAGCTGCACAGGTGGTTATGAACATGCTTGATGTGACTATGCCTGACACACTTACAGAAGAACAAAAGAAGAAGGTAAAGCCTATCCATCAATTCTAACCTCATGGTAATTTGTATTGTTCACTTCCCCCTAAATTGAGCTTCATTATGTCACTGAAAATGCCTTCAACATTAGTCATATTACAATTGTATGATTGTATTGAACATTCCTTTGATTTTTGCATTCATGCGCAGGTCCTGACTGCTGTCGGTCAAGGGGAGACATTGATGAATGCTTTGCAAGGTGCTGTACCTGAAAATGTTCGTGGAAAGCTTACCACAGCAGTTTCTGAAATTGTTCATAATCAAGGTTCTAACTTGAAACTAGATGGACTCCTGGCTCATGGATCCATTCCCTATGTAACATCAAGGTCAAAATCAGCTGTCCAAGAAAAGGGTAGAGGAGATTCTAGTGCAGAAGTTGAAAATGAATCTTTACATTCTTCAGATGGGGTGAAGGCTAGTGATTTGCAAAATAGTTCAAACAAGGGTGTATCTAGTGCAGACAATTGCCCTGAGGAACTAGAATCAGAATGGCAGGCTTCAGAGAAATTGCAAAAATCAGATGATACTGGTCAGTCTCAACCAATGAACAGCTCTTCTTCTATGGAAAAGGAGGAAATGACTGATTTGGTAGATAACAATGAAAATGCAGATCATTCTGGAGGTAAAACTGTTCTGGATTCTGGTACCAAGGAAAATGAATCAAAAGCAGGAGCAGAACCAGAGAGTTCAAACTTTTCTGAAGGGGAGGGTTCCATTGAGAATATGGACTCTGAGAAATACAAAATGCAGCTAGATCGTGGAAAGAATCAGATGGACTTGAAAGAAGAGAGTTCTACTCAATCAAAAGAAGAAAATGTTGCTGATTCTTCTGGTGATAAAAATAAGACAATATCAAACACACAGGCAGAGGACAAATCAACATCTCCTGCATCTCCCTCAGAGACCCAAGTGATGGAAAAAGAGGGCAGTGATAACATAAAGAGAGAAGAAAAAAGCATGCAAACAAATACACCAGGCTTTAGTGTTTCTCAAGCATTAGATGCCTTTACTTTGATAGATGATTCAACCCAGGTGGCAGTTAATAGTGTATTTCATGTTCTGGAGGATATGATTACTCAGCTAGAGGAGGGAAAAAATGATGAAAATAAAATTAATGACAGAGACAACAACCGTGAGTTGGAAGATCCTGAGGACAAAAATGAGTGTGCTGACACACCACCTTCAGATGCTATTCCTTTAAATAACCAATCACACACTAAGGAGAAATCTAAAGAGATGCATGTGGGTTTTGGTGATAGTAGTGCAGATACAAAGCACTCTGCAGAAAGGAATGAAGGAAATAAGCAAAACTTTGTCAATGGAAAACTTTCTGCCGAGGATTCTGCTCAGTACTTAAATACTGTTTCTCAAAATGTTCCAATCTATGTTATAAAAGATTTACATGGAGACCCACTTCACAAAGAAAATTACCTAGTTTCTAAAGCCAGAAGGACCAACTCACTAGATGTAGATACCACAACGGCTTTGTTTCTTGACTACTTCCCAGAGGATGGTCAATGGAAGCTATTAGAGCAGACAGAAAGTGATGTTGATTCTGATGAAGTTGTTGCATCTCACAAAGGTGGGCATTCACAACCAAAATCAGAGGATATAGATATTGAACCATATTATGTAATTTTAGATTCTGAGAAGCAGCAGGAGACGATAGAAAAATCTAATGGAAATGTTGAAATTGGTAATGAAAAATTAGAAGAGCCTTCTCACATTATCCGAAGTATTATATTGGACACTTTAAAAGTTGAAGTTGGTCGAAGGCTAAGTTCAGCTGACATGGAGGAAATGGAGCCTGAACTTGCCAGAGATCTAGAACACATTGCAAATGCTGTTTCTCGAGGTGTAGGGTTAGATGACAGGCTGACATCAGTTACACAACTTGAGGACACGGATTCAGAGAAAGTTGGCAACCTTCATGGGGAGCATGTAGTAAAAGCCATATCCTCTGCAGTTCAGAATACCAGTTATTTGAGGAGAGTATTGCCTGTTGGGGTTATTGTTGGTTCTTGCTTGGCTGCACTAAGAAAATCCTTTGATGTATATGCAGTTGAAACTAATGGCGAAGGCAATGAAATGATCCTTGATCAAATAACTAAAGGTGAAAAGGGATCTGATGACGTACTTTCTCAGAATACTAATCAGAAATATGAGCTGGAGAGTTCTGATCTCAAGACTGAGAGAAGAGTAGAATCCAGAAATTTGAACAAATCCAACACTGAGAGTAGAGATGATTCAGGAGATTCAAGCAAATCCATTATGGTTGGAGCTGTTACTGCAGCCTTAGGAGCATCTGCATTTCTTCTCCATCATCAGGTAAAATTTAATTTTAAGGGCACTAATCTCTATCATATTACTCTAGAATGACCTTAGAAGCATCTTGCCTGTTATTCACATCTATGGGGCTGTCACCTGCTTCAGAGTATCTGAAGCAATTGGTGCATACTTGCAATTCTTTGCAGACTATACTCTTACAAAGCAATGGCATATTACCCATAAATTTTGCTTTGTATATCCAATTAGGAACACCCATTGAGCTACTGATGTTGTAGCTACTAAGGAAAAACAATATCCTGGTCAAAGCCATGGTGTTTGAATTCCAGGAAAGAGTAAAGGTTGTTAAGTTGTTTGGAGGATCGGGGACTGTTTTAAATATACCTCTCTTTTTTCCCCCCAATACCCAACCTAAAGGCTTATTGTTTATGGACAGAATAAGTAATAGGTTTTAGACTTATATTTAGTTAATTAGGCAATAGAAGAATCTTGCTCTGATTATTTTCCTAGTACGTCTTTATTGTCCCTTCTCTATAAATGCTTAATATATAGTACCTATTTGCTTAAAGGAAAATGGGACTGGAAATTTGTCCAATCCCCACAATGGAAAAGAAGATGCAAGCACGGAGACTCACGAGCTTGAGGATGTGGATAAAACACAGGATAACATAGTTACAAGTCTTGCTGAGAAAGCAATGTCTATTGCTAGTCCTGTGGTACCCACGAAAGATGGTCAAGTGGATCAAGAAAGGTTTTATATTCTCTAATAATTTGCTCTATACTTTTCTGCTTTCATCCTAATCCTTTTTCTTAAGGAGCATTTTATTAATTTTGTTTAATGCTTAGGTTGGTGGCAATGCTGGCAGAGTTAGGACAGAGAGGTGGAATTTTAAGGTTTGTTGGAAAATTTGCATTGCTTTGGGGTGGATTGCGTGGTGCTATGAGTTTAACCGATAAGCTCATTTCATTTCTGCGCATTGCTGAACGTCCTTTGTTCCAGAGGTAAACTACTTTCCTAACCGTTAAGTTCAGGTCTCATGTATCCCTGAAAGTGGCAAGAATGTAGTCCCAATTTCACTGAAAGTTCTTCCTTTGACCTGGCTACAGGATTCTTGCATTTATCTGTATGGTGCTGGTTTTATGGTCACCTGTTGCTGTACCTTTGTTGCCAACACTTGTGCAGAGCTGGACCACACATCAACCATCCAAAGTTGCCGAGCTGATTTGCATTGTTGGCCTCTATATCTCCATTCTGCTACTAGTTACTTTATGGGGAAAAAGAATTCGTGGGTATGAAAATCCACTTGAACAATATGGGCTGGATTTGACTTCACTATCAAAGGTGCAGAATCTAGCTATTAAGCATTTCATATATTTCAGACTTTGTCAATGTGAATGAGTCTACTAATTAGTCCTGGCAGGTTCAAGAAATTGACACACAAGACTCTAGGAAACAATTTGACTTACCTTGCTTAGATGTCAACTGCCTTGCTTGCAGGTTCAGGATTTTATAAAGGGTTTGATTGGAGGAATCATTCTTGTTTTACTGATTTATTCAGTAAACTCCATACTTGGTTGTGTCCATCTCCACTTTCCTATCACTTTCACTTCATCATCTTCAGCTGCTCTAGCATGGTTGAAAGTGTTTAGTCAGATGGTTGTACTAGCTGTTAAAGGACTAGCAACCGCAACAGGGATTGCAATTGTTGAGGAATTGCTTTTCCGATCATGGTTGCCTGATGAAATTGCTTCTGACCTTGGATACAATCGAGGAATAGTCATTTCAGGACTTGCGTTTTCTTTATTGCAAAGGTATATTTCTCTAATCATCTGACATAACTTCTCACGTGATGATCATCCTAGCACCTTATGTGTTGCATATATAAACATCTAGATGGGTTTAACGTGTTGTTTTTTCAGTTCACATTCCAAACCTATTCTAAAGAAAATGTGAGTCTTAAAACAGAAAATTTTTGTTGGGTGTTTACCAAATTTGACTCCTCTGCTTATATAAATCTGTATTTGCTTAATTATTCAAGAAAAATAGATTACTAATTTTGCAGAGTAGAATTATAACATAGCATAAAAAAGCTCAACCTGAATGGATTATTTCTGGAACAGAATTGACTGAAAGATTTTGTTAAGTCAATCATGGCCTTGACCTTCCTCTTAATGATATTCCAGGTCACTATGGGCAGTGCCTGGCCTATGGATATTATCACTAGCTCTTTCTGGTGTTCGGAAAAGAAACAGGGGTAGCCTCTCCCTTCCTATCGGGCTACGTGCAGGGATATTGGCTTCTAGTTTTTTCTTGAAGACGGGAGGCTTTTTGAGGTTTGAATCTAAGTTTCCACCATGGTTTACTGGACCATACTCTTCTCATCCTTTTAGTGGCGCAATTGGTCTTGCCTTTGCATTGTTGTTGGCAGCAGTTGTCTATCCAATCCAACTTCATAAGAAAAAATTGTGTAGACCCATCAGGGAATAAACATACCGATACTAATTCGCGCCAAAGCGTGTGTGCAAAGATGCAATGCACAGTTGGATAGTGCCTCCCCTTTGTGCCAAATATGTCCTGCACAATAACAGCAGGATTCCAGCTCTTTTTTCAGGAAGACCCGACCAACTGGATCTGTTCGATCTCCTGCCACGAGTGCTGCTTCCTTGACCTGTGCTTCCTACGCCTTTGCCTTCAGTTTAGACAGAAGCAACATGCAAAGGAAAACAGGCAATTCAGTTATGTGAGGTTAGTGATTCCTGTAAACTGCCTCTGGAAATTCACTTCACCTTGATGTATAGATGTACTTTATAAAAGTGTAAAAATGTGGCCAAATTTTGTAGGTTCAAAGTGTATAGATGGGGGAATTCTTTCCCCTTGATATAAGTGTGCATATGAGCACTGATACGACCACCACAGAAATATAATTAATTTACAATATCTTATTTAATTTATTGACTAGAATTATAGATATAATTTGAACTAAACACTTCTTTGATATTAAGAGATTTGGAAAGTATTAGAATTATTTATATATGCACATATTTTGGACCTTAGTTCAAATTATATATATATAATTAATATATTATGTACGTGTATCTAATTTGTTAACTGAAAATACATGTTAATTGTATGAATATAATCTCTGGTAAAAAATGTGCATGGTAAAACATTGAATTCATGATATAATTTGTGTGCACATTATAACCCAAGTAAAAGCTAGGCACATTGTATAAGACTAATACGGAGTAATAATTTTCAAAAAAAAAAAAAAAAAAAAAAACTGAATAATAAAAATGTCAATTATTATAAATAAAAGTTTGTTTAAAAATAAATAAATAAAAGTTAATAATAATTTTATTTTTACTACTTATATAAATATATTTGTTTTATAATTCATAGTAATTAGCATGTTTACTACTTAAAATTAGTATTGTAAAAATCGACGAGGCGCTAGGCATTCCTAGGTTGAGGCGATTTAAGCTCTAGGCAGTTTTAGTCAGTTGATTGACTAATTAGCTTATTAGGCGCCGACTCGGTCAAATTGAGTGTCTAACTCAGTTGAGTCGGACGCTTAACTCGACTGAATCGGTGCTTAACTCGGCCAAGTTAGCGTTCAACTTGGATGAGTGATTTTTTTTTTCTGCTCGACTACTCTACTTCTATATTTCTCCAGTCATGTACTCAACTAATCAATTAACTAATTCCTAAACCTGAGTGAGAAAAGTAAAGACAGATATACTCAAATTACTCGGCCGCCTAAGTATTAGACACCTCCGGGTGTCTGACTAGCGCCTAGTACCTCCTGCAACATTCTTAGAATGATAAAAAAATTTCATATTTTCTTATTGTGGATAATAATGGAAAATAGATTTCCAGACTAGGAGCACAGGTGGATTACATTAGAAGGTTGAAAATTTTATTACAAAATTCCGAGACGCAGGCAGAATTTCCAAATCCTCTCCCCTCTGAAGTGTGATGCAGAATGTAAAGGCAACTAAAAAGCAAACAACAATCACTCAACAAATATGACAACTAGAGGGTGACCAACAAAAGACCAAAACAGAATCCTCTTCCAATTGTCACAATCTATGAAGGTTTTTATTCTAGCCAAACAGCCAGCCGCCGGGATTGTCATAACTCGGTCACCCCAATGCCGCCCGCCTTCATTTACTCGATGGCCAACGGAACGTCTTCCGCCTGCAGGAGAACAACAATGCAGGTAGGTTAGCTATTTATTTATAGTACCAAACAGCTAAAGAATGCGAGAATGAAGAACAACTCACCAACTTGCGGAACTTGAGTGCATAAAACATTTCAAGATAGCGACGGATCTCAAGGCGGTCTAGCTTGGAAACGTGTTTCCAGAAGCCATAAACACTTGCCAGTGTCAACAACCTGTCTGAGTAGATTTGCCATGTGTACCTACATGAGGGCGATTATCAGTTTAGACTTTTAGTTAAAACAGACTACATCTCTCAGTCTATGAAGGAGAATAGAGATGGATTCTTACTTCTCCTGGATGCGTTTCAGGCCACCCGCTGAGATGGTTTCCCAGTGAGAGGGATCCTTCTTGCACTTCTCAAAGAAGTCGACGAGGAGCTCAGCCGCTTGCTCGCCATGGTATGGATCAATGTGGAAGCCAGACTTCCCGTGAACAATGATCTCAGCTGGACCGCCATGGTTAGTGGCAAAAGTGGGCAGACCACAGGTCATGGCCTCGACCACAGTCAACCCGAAGGCCTCATAGAAAGCGGGTTGCACGAATGCTCCCTTGGTGTCACAGATGTACCTGTACAGCTCACCATTCCTCACACGGTTCATCTGGGACGAGATCCACCTGAACTGCCCATTCAAATTGTATGTCTTTATCAGTTCATACATCTTCTTCATCTCAGCTTGCTCTTCAATATCCTTGGATTCCTTCCTCCTATCACCCCCCACCACCACAAGATTCACCAGCTCCCGAAGCTTCGGGCTCTTGGCGTAAAATTCAACAAGTCCTGTTAAGTTCTTCACACGGTCCAACCTCGCCATGGTGAATAAGATGGGCTTACTCCTATCTTTTAACACACATCTGTGAATGTTACAGTGCACCAATCAGTCCAAGCTTAATTAAAACCGCAATGAAATTTCTATTTCCTAGTGGCCATAAACGAGTATGAACTTACAGATGCTCCTCGTTCTCAACATCACTGTATAGCAAGTCCTCGATTTCGGGGTGATATGATGTTAGTCTCTTTTCTTTCTCCGAGTATGGGAAGTATAGGTTCATATCGGCCCCTGGTGACACGATGTTGAATTTGGGGTCGAACACATCAATGCCATGAACAACTCTGTACAGCCCGGGCATTGTGAAGGCCATATGGCTCTCATACTGTCCAACAGTGTCCTTGCTGAAAGTACGAAATTAAGCAACAAGCATTAATCGTGTATTGGAAGCGTGAAAATAAGCGTTTAAGGAAGGCGGGAATTGAATACCTTCCAGCTATTTCTTGGAAGGTGCTGGTGATGATGAAATCGGTATGGTTCATAGCAATAAGATCGGCTGTGAACTGGGACGAGAAGTGATATTTCTCGTCAAACTTCTTCCAGTAAATGTCTGAATCCGGGTACTTTGTCTTCTCCAACGCATGAGCAATGGTGCACTGTAACAGATTGAAACCACTACGTAAGCTTTAGGCCATGTTTGGTAAAATGGTTGTTAGCTGATAGCTGTTAGCTATTAGCTGATTGTGTTAATTAGAGGATATAAATAGTTGATAACATTAGCTGATTGTAGAAAAGTGTTTGGTAAATTAGCCGTTAGCTGATAGCTGTTTGGTATAATTTTTTTTTTTCAAAAAGCTAATTGAAAAAGTTGCTTGGAGTAGCTTTTTGAATTTTAACCTTTTGGAGTTGCAAAAAGCTAATTAACCAAACATTTATATTGATATTTTAACTAAATCAAGCAATTAATAGTGGTCAAATAAGCCAAAATTGGCCTATAGGCCAATTTTTTACCAAACAGGGAATCATTCCCGAGTATTAAACCCGACGAATGAAGTTCAAAAGGAATAGCATACAGACCTGTGTTACGCCCAACTTGTGAGCCAGTAACGAGGCAGCAAGGTTACCCTCGCTGTAGTTTCCAATTATCAGATCCGGCTTGGCCTGCAGCTCAGCAGTAATTTCTGTCGCAACATCCTCGATGAAAGTCTCCATGTATGGCCAGACTTCAAAACGGGAGATCCATTTCCGGACCATGCCCTTCTCAGTCCTGAAGGGAACACGCAAAATGTGCGAGTGTTCTGCTCCATAGACCTTCTCGAGCCGCTGACCACAAGTGGTTCCAACTGCATCTGGCAGTAGCCTGGTTATCTGAAAATAAAGTCGAGATTGAGAAATGAAGACAGATTTCAGAAACCGTCAATTAGATCATCAGTATAGTACTAACAATTAGGATCCGTGGCTTGACATCGAGTCCTTGTTCTTTGATACGCTTAAGCATCTCACGCTCCAAGGCGGGGACTTGATCCAAAATATAAACGACCTGACAATTGTAGGAAAGCAAAAAGTAAGTACTTGTGGCATTAACCTTGAACTAGATAAGGTCGAGAATCGAAGAACATATAACGCTATTAACGTACCTGGCCACCAGTGTCGGGATAACCCAAAACATTTTCCTGGGCAAAGTAACCATGGGGAGAAAGAATAACAACATTGAAAACCATAGGAATTCTCCCGAGGAATTTCTCGAGAGTACATGAATCAGGAGCCTCGAGGAGGTCAAGCATCATGCAGATCATTTCCAGCACATGCTCAGCGGTGTCACCCCAACCCCGCTCTAATCCGATCTCTTGAAACTTGTGTTCGAAATCAGCATACGGGGTTTCGGGATGGAGGGTCGTTAGATACTCCTCCGCCTTCCTCAGGACACTTTGGAGAGTGTTCGCGTTCTGAATTCTGTCATTAAGCATCATCGTCTGCAAAACAAAACCATACACCAGATCAAGCTTCGTTCTGAATCAGCTAAATATTACCAGGCAGTTAAAGAAATCAACGAGAGAAACAAAGAATTGAAAGATGTGTTCCATCTCAACTAAAAATCTAATCTAATAATCTAAGATGATAGTGAGACTACACACTTGTATTACATATATATGGCTCTGTTTGGCAGAGCTTATTTAGGAGCTTATAGCTTATTTTATGTACAGAGCACACGGATCATGGAAAATGAAGCTTTACCTTGCCCTTGTATTGGTGAACTCGTAGAAAATCAAGGAGCGGGGTCAAGCTCTCTTTGTCATGGAACATCTTAGCCGATAGGTGCCTGTTGAGGAACTCAACTCCATTTCCAATGGACTTGGTAAGGGTTGGCTTGGGAAAGGATGCAGTAAACGGCTCAAAATCCAATTCAAGAACGAAGTTACCATTGGCACTGGATCAAAGACACAACCCTAAGTACAAATAACAACATATATATAAATCAAAGGAAGATGCAATTAACAGGTCTAGAACCAGAACTTACGGTCCA